TTCTTGTCATATTTCTTCAGTAAATGCTTTCATGCAAGACAGGCACAATGAATATGCTACTACTTGTACCTATAGTGCATGGAACTTAAGAATACACTGTAGATACACGACACTGCATAGTAAATAGATTTAAATCCTTTTTCATAAATTAAAATAAAATCCATGTCGGGGGGTGGGGGGAGAGAAATGTGTTAATAGAAACAAGAATGTGGGACCAGTTTCTTAAAAGAAATATAGGTGTTACTAATTTTCACACAGATCTGTGGAATCGGGCTTGGAATAAATATTGTATGTATGCTTAACCCAGAAGCTCCAAATATTTATATGGACGCATGTCAATTCAGATTAAGTGAACAGGAGGTTGTCCGGGGGGGGGGATCAAATACCAGTATGGGAACCCCCCTTCAGACTATCAAAGGGCTGATCACGTGTTCCCACATGGTATTTATCAGTCTCCTCATTCAGTGAAGCCATAGTAGACACATTTTGATGCAGTACAATAGGAGTAAAAATATACAAAAGTGGGTGAAAGTGGGGGAAAGAGTAGGAAGAAACGAAAGGCAGTTCATAAACTATAACCTGAAGTCCCTGCAGTCTTTTAAACCTATCTGAACCCTCAATACTCAAATAAAATTATTCATACTTGCTCTTAATCTCTCAGATTCTCCTCAAACATATAAAATTCTATATTCATGCTCACTAAAAATAAGGCAAGACATACAAGGTGTTTATAGAAAAGTCATTTTTATCATATTAAGATAAATGTGACTACTTGGTAGAAGCATATACTGTAAATTTAACACATACTTTGCTACAGTAAAAGATGCATCATTATTTGTTGTGATGGTCATTGAGAAAAAGCTTTGCAATTCAGAACTGAGAAACTAAACTAGAAAAGCTATATAGGGGCTAACAAGAGCTACAGGTACTCCATACATGACACTGACATTATCCTTATTTCATATGTTTAAAAAATCAGGCTCATTTATAATATTACTTGGAAGACAGAAATGCACACAAACACACCAAGGTACACAGAAATTCTGGATGTCTACAAGTTAATCTTCATAAATTGAAGTAGCAGGTGTTCCAGGGCTTAGAATAATTAGCCCATATGTGATTGATCAAAGGTTGCAAAGTATGGTTAGATGGCCAACAAAAACAGAATCTTTTCATCAACAATTCTAGCTTCTTGGCTTGATTTGCCTCTGTATATGACTTTGGATTCTTGGGGCAAGGGGTACAACATTTAAACTTTAGTGTTAGAACTTCCCTGAGGAATTCTTGCAATCCAGTTAATTTGAGGAAATAGTTGGGGATTCTGGCATAAGAAAAACATTAAGGGGAAAAACTGTATTTAATATGGCCAATACAAATTCTACTCAAAGACTAACAGTGCAATCCTTTACTCACAGACGTAAGTAGGTGCGGGACTACAGCATTAATCCTAATTTTTTGAGGACCTTTTAATTTGCCATGCTAATTTGTACTGAGATTGTAATAGGAATAGGTTGTTTTATCATCATGAATACATCTCTTGCTACATTTTGCTGCTACCTGTGGGTATTTAAGATCTTTACATTATCAACTGCATTACTTAAAATGAACAAAAGTAACTGTATGTCATCCCAGATTATGTTGTTTATTATCCTAGACAGTGTTCTTTCTTACATGCTTGTGTGCATGTGTGCATGTGCATACAATATATTCATTAAATTAGACTAGTCTTTATAATCTGTACACATTATTGTTTAAATTATCCTACTGTTCATAAATTATTTAAATTTTGTTGTAATTATTTGTACATTCCTGTTTTTGTAAATGTCCCTGTTAGTATCATTTACAGAACTTGAACACTGATAGTAGAATAGTAGTAACTATATGCTTTAAAGCACAATTACCAAAACAGTATAGCAGCAAAAAAATCATATAAAAATTCAAAAGATTCTAGTAGTGGAGTAGATTTAATGAATACTCAAAATGCAAGCTCAAATCTACCCTGTGAAACTATCGTATTTTTTGCAACTCTTTTGACCTCAGTGACACAAAATTAATTCTACTATTCTAGTATCAAAATAAGATTCTACATCTAATGTAGTATTTGTCTATATACTTAATCAAAACCATTTTATCTGAGGAATTGTACATAGTGCTTTGTAACAATTATTTTAATAGTTTAGAAAACTGATTTAATAGATTAGCAATAAGGTGTTCAAAATAGCTAAAACCACGACAGTTTAACTGAGTACACTGATGAAGAATTAAAACAAGAAGAAAACTTGTCAGCTGGCTACATATTGCCTCTTTTAACAGTATTTATAAGTTGATAAATCTCTACAGAGGGATAAAAAGTTGCTTGTACCAGAGCCATATCATTCTAAGGATATCCTGATAACCTGTGAGTGCACTGTATCCGTGTATCACTAGTATATATTACTCTATATTATACAATACTGTCATTGAGAAATTGCTTCCAAAATTGATGGAAACTTTCTAGACCTCTACGTGTTATAAATAAAGCCCAAAATACAAACAGAAGTCTAAGAACAATAAATATATAAATAATCCCCACAATATTTTCCCAGAGATTGATTAGCATCTTTAACTGTTTCTGATCCTTTTTCTAGGTATAAAGTCTCAGTTAAAAATGACTGTCCTACCTTTTGAAGCACTTTATAGCAACCTCAGTGTCCACTAATCTCAAACCTTACTGAAGAAACACATTTAAAAAGCCTACAGTTTATCTTACAGTAAATTTCAACAGAAAGTAGAAACAGAACACACCAAACTCTAACTTTGCACAAGCAATCAAGAAACAAAGACAAATACATACATATATTTTGTATAAATTCAGATGTTGATGTATGTTCTTAACTAAGACTATTTCTTTCATTTCAAATTTAGAAAATACACAAGTAGCATCAATGAAACTGTTCATGCTATTCTTCTCGTCACCCTTCTGAAAGCACTCCTTCTCAAAGTTTATGTTGTAAACCAATACAGACACACATGCACACACAGACACATGTGCGCACACATATGCACACACACACACACACACACACACACACAATCACATAAAGGATACAGATTTCATGTTTACTAATGGTCATGTTCCATATCAACACATTTTGAAGGATGATTTATATTCCAGTTTCAGACTGTATTTAAAGCCTGCGGTGCACACACCTACTATAAAATGCCTCTTGAGTCCTATTAAGTAGACCTATGGCTTTACATTGCCTTTCTGCTTATTTAAGATCTAATCACAGTTTTGAAGCAAAAAAAACTGTTGCCCCTAAGCCTATCCCCCTCAGAACCTGTCTGATATTAATACTCAACTGGATATTTTCATCTCCAATTGTTATTCTCAGTGGTCTCGGCAAATGCTTTCTACTGAAAACTGTGACTCTGTGGACAAATGGGCTCGAAATGTTTAGGGCTGCTTTGAGAGATGTGTAAGTATCATATTATTCTGATGATTTGTTTTCTGCTGTGAACTAATGTGCTTATGTTTTTTAACATATTAAAGAAGCTTATTTGAAACAAGTTTAAGTGGTACAATAATAGGGAAGTATTGGAATAAGGTATTTTTACAAGAAAATATTGAAATACGTTAGGAGTTATCTTTTTAAGATGTCAAAGATCTAGCTGTATACAATTCTGGCATCTTTTCCTAAGGTCACAGCACTTAATAAGAATTCAGCTGTTAAGAGCCAATATTTACTATGAAATACAGCCAAAATCCTAAGATGTTTCTCAGATGTAAAGCCAAAACCATTTTAACTGTTCCATATACTATCATCTTTAGAGTCATACAAGTAAGTTAATATTATCATTAAGAATAATTTAAAACTCAAGAACAAGAACCATGCTCATTTGCAGTAATAGAGGCCCAAATTAAAGCTTTTGTTAGAACAGTTTGATAAATATTTTTCAATGGAACTCAACTTTTAACAGCTTTACATTCTGCAAGACTGTTTTTTTCTTGCAATCAAATCCAGTCACTGATAATATATCTCTTTACAAATTAAGTGTCCAAAACTGCACTGTGCCTTAGGAAGTGATAGCTACACATTATTAAAAGAAACCTAGCCATTCTGACAGGACACTCAACACCTTGTAGGATGGATCTGGCCCATTAAATTTTGGGGGCAAGTGGGGAGATGGCCCAGTTACTACAACACCATTAACAAATAATCTATTAGCACCACAAAAGCCCTAACTGGTTCATATGGGAATTTTTTCTTAAATACGTGATGGTGACAAAGAGATGAAATATTTCTATTTACCATCACTTACTTCAGTACATTTGCTACTTTAGATACACAAATAGTGAAAACAGATGAAATATAAAAGGAAAAAAAACTGTTATTTAGTTAAATAGCGATAAATAGCAATAGTTGCCTCCCCCACCTCTTTTTCTTTATGTATACAGAACAGTGATATTCTCTTCTAGTGGGTAATTCAGTCACACTGCTGAGTCCCTGTTTCAGCTGAAAATCTATCCATCTATTTTATTTTCAACTATCATAGGAAAGCATCTATGTTGCAAAAAAGTCACTGTGGTCTTTTCACCTTAGCTGAGTTTGGGAACAATTTTATTCTACAAGCATGCAAAGTATCAAGTAATGTGGCCCTCTGGTGGAAAGCTAAGTATCACATTTTACTTCTCAGCATCACTCAGGGAACCTGGAGGTTTTAACAAACATTTTGCTTGAAAAGGTATGAAGACAACTTTGAGAAATATACTCTGTACCTTTAAAAGCAAATATGCAATATATTTCAGTGTACACACATCTTTATCAATAGGAAGTGAAGATCTGACATTTTAAGATGAGCATGCAAGAGAACAAACAAACAAACAATAAATAGCCCTCTGAAAATTCTCCACTTTCTGCAATATTTTAAAAGTACACAAAATCCACATCAGGGAAAGTGTGACTTAAGGCAATCTACTTTGTATAAAAACAAACACAAAGCAAAACAAAAAAACTTACCTGCTGTTGTTGCAGATGCAGCAGTTCTACTGTGCTTACTTCAGTGCTCGTGTCACCACTTGATCTTCCATCTCTGCTGCCAGCATCTAATTGGCTGCTTAGAGTGCTCATTCCATTTTGATTCATTGAACTGTTGCTTATTGTCTCTGTCGCAGATTCCTGCATCATGACTTAATACCTAAAAGTGATTAAGAAGTATCAATTAACACACACGTTACACCTTCACACTCCCATTATCAAGATGTCCCTCTCTGCCAATTACAGAGACAGCATCTTTAGAAGAAGGAAAGGGGGAAAAAAACCCCTTGCATAGTCATTTAAGAAGAAAGCAGTGCAATACAAACCTTGCCTTTATAGATATACTAATCATTGAATTTATGTTTCCTATAAGCAATTTTTATGTAGTTTGATTTAACAGGGAAAATAAAACCACATATATGCAGCATGGTCAAATAGCATTCATGAACAACTACATAAGTCTACCTATCAAACCAGTTAAATGAAAGCACAATTTCACACACTGCTCTGTATTTCCTATTATCTAGCTTTGACAACCATGGATGACTATACAGCCTTATTTAAAATATTCACTATCTTGATTCTGTCAGAATTTTACAGCATCTCTTATGCAAGTCTGTTGTTTAATGATGCACAGCTAATCATACAAAATTAAAATTTTGTAAGGGTGTTACAAATCATATGGTATCAACCAATGATAAATAGTATAATGGGCTTCTCCTTTTTTGTGACTAAATAAAATTTTGCCTTGGAGGCATTTTAAGAAAAAGCTCCTGCTGCAAACACGTCAGATATTGCCTATTTTTTTAATCAAACGGCTGATATTCATTTATTTTTCTGACATTTAAAACATTTAATACTGTCCTTCCTGGGAAGTAATTAAGCTTATGCATGAGCAGCAATCAAACTGTTCACTTGAAGATGACTTAAAACTCAATTTTAACATAGGCAAATAAATGAAAGATATAAAATTAATTTTCCAGGCATGTATTAGATATGAAAGCTGGAAATAAAATCTATCAAGAATATCACTAATGATTGTGCTAAAAACAGCATAAATTATGCATATTACCTTCTCTACAGTAATAAATGTTTTATCATTTTCACTGCATAAATATACTGTACTTTCAGGATAGCAATGAGATGTCCTGCCAAGATCAGTTGAAATCCTTGCAGTAAATAGAAGAACGAACATACCCTTACAAACTAGAATTTCAAGTACATTTTGCATCTGTATTAAGGAAATACCCATTTTTGTTCTCAAGGCCACTTAAGTGCTACACTGTGCTAAAGGTGCTGTCCTCAATTCATTTTGCTGTTCTGATGCATATGTTATGCTAAAAGATTTTGAGGAGAAGAAAACACTTTCCAAAATATGATCTTAAAGGTATCTCTCTTAGTAAATAATGTGTTCAGCAGTCTTGGTCAAAGAACACAAGTGGAATTTCCCCCAACATATTGTTCCCTTCAGTTCAGTTTATGCACAAAAATCCTTCCCTAGCATTATAAAACACCAACTGAAGCTACTGTTAGGTATCTGTTTTGCTGACATTCCTAAGTTTTCACAAAGGAAGTTTTACAGTGCAATTTTGGAAGCGTCTACTTGGAAATGAGACCAACTGAAATCAATGAGACTTACTTCCAAGTAAGCATGCACAGGATTGCAGTCTTAAAGTGTAAAGCTTTAAAATTTAAGCACAAGAAGCATTTAAAAAACAAGTCAAGAGGATTAAAATGTGCATAAAAACCATTTGGTCACAAAGAAAGAACACAAACACAACAGATATATTCACAGATCTTCCATACAAAAATGTATGGAAGGACATTATTACAATCACAGTTAGGCACTGTAGCACCAGTGTGTGTTTAAGATCTGACACTCCACTGAATATTAACTAAAAATAAAAGATAAATGAAAAAATGAAGATGAATTTTCCAAGAAGAAAACAACAGCTAATATTCTTTTCTAAGATTACACATCTAATAAGTATTCAAATTCAGCATAAATTTTATATGCACAATCTTTACAATATTCGGAAAAAGGCATCCAATAGCATCTCGTAGTTATATGACTATTTTAAGGAAAATCTTTGGCAACTTTATGGACTTGTTCAAAAATACACATAGTTATTAAAATGGATTTATAGCATACATCATTGTGAACAAATGCATCAAGAAACTTATCTTTTGCACAGTATCTTCAAAAGTATTGGGGGAAGGGTACCTTCAGACAAATAAAAGATTTATCTTACAACTCTTAACAATGTAAATATTTGACTATATTCATGCCACAGTCAATCATATGCATTAAAAGGATAAATCCAGTATGCGTGCAGCTTAGCCAGCCAATCAAAATAGCTCATACATTTTTGGAAACCTCTTGCTTAAAAACCAAATTATGTGTTTGCAGATCTGTGATTCTTTCAGTATAATTAGAAAGAAAAGGTTAAACATCTCTCAGCTCATATTAACCAAAAGGTGCATAATGCCTTGTGGATTTTTGTATCATCAAAAAGCCCTGAAGCATAGTTTGGACTTCACAAATTAAGTTGATCTCTAAGCCTGCACAATCAAGTTTAACAAAACATGACCACTAAATTGTACTCTTGTAACAGAATGCAGGGTCTGATCCATCTTCACTGTGTTCAGAAATTTGACAAGTAAAGTATATAATATTAACTGGAAGATTGTTGTAATGCAGGGGAGAAAAAGTGGATTATTTTTCATAAAAAGTTATGCATGTCTATCATTTTGGCATGAAATATAGTTCACATGACCAAAATAAACAAGTTAAAATTAATAGTTTCGCCAATTAGGGGCTTGAATTGGTTGTTGACTCACATTGTTGCTAATTATGATTTCCAGGGAGTTGGAGTAGGTGTGGGAAAGAGGGTCTTTGTATATAAAACTTTGTTTTTGCTGCATGATTAATATTCCATCAAAAATCCCTAAAATTCTGCAGTTTGAAAGTATATATTAAGTAATGAGATAGCCATGCAAGCTGTTCTTCTAGCTCAAACTCCTAAGCCAGCAAAACCAAAATACTTTATCTTTAGTAAAGTCATCAGTATAATGTAAGAACAGATTTTATCTATTTCATTCAGCCTAGTAAACAAACAAACAACCCTCTGAAGATTATTGTTTACAGATAACTAGGAAGTATGCCTTTTTAGAGGGCACTCACATGTCTACATGGACACACTCCATTCAAATTACAGAGAAATGTGCATGTTCTCAAAGATAATTTGTGCATAGGTCTCAGATAATAGTTGCATCAGATATCTCAACTTATTTCATACAAAGTTACAAAAGGAACAAGTACCTCTAGGTGCCTCCTGTAAATTGGGGAGTATAGATTACCGTCTCAACATGTAACAGTCACATCATTCAATTGCAATCCACACACTATAATTATGTGAATATCTGTCTACTCCACACTACATACTCTCCATTGCTGCCACTAATCTTAAGTTTTCACTAGGTTTCTTTAAATCAGCAAGTCACTGTACAGATACTTATTCTCTACACCACTTCCCTTTTGAAACATTAAAGTGACACTGAAACTGACTGCACAAGATTGCATTTTCTCTTCCTAAACAACTTGAATTGAAAGGTTACTTAGTGTAACAATATTTACTTGCAGAATTGTGTTGTTACCAAGGGTATAATGGACGGTGGCTATGCAGGTTTACGCAAGAATGAGTGAAGCATGAGGCATTAGCCATGTGTTTGACATGTTTCAAATTGCTATAATCCAGCATTAAACACACCCAGCAATTCATGCCATTTCTTGCAGCCATAATCTTGAATAAAGCGTGCACAACCACTTATTATATAAATTAGTATATGACTCCCTGTTACAGTCACAACAGTGCTTTTGTGTTTATTTTGCATCAAGATGTGGTCTTTTATTTGTACAAATAGCAGGATAAAAAGACACCACTCAATTAGACCTCCTTACTTTTATGATGGGGTTGTACAACATTCTAGACTTGTTTGTTTTGTTTTTCCCTGAGAGTTCTCTTAGTGTGAAATGGAACAGTGTGAATTATTTTCTTTGTTGTGTGATTCCAGAACTGTGTTATTGCCTTCCTGGTCCCAAACCATATGAAGGAAGGCCAGGTGCAGTTTTGAAATTTGGAAACACAAATGACTACCAAAAAAAACAAAACCAAAGTTCTGAATCACCACTAGGGGGCCTCCTTTTGAGATACAGTAGGCATTAAATTGTGTATTCATTCCCTACAAGGAAAAAGCCTAGGATTCTTCACACTGTAAATGTCCTTAACATCTATGGGGAAAAATGAAATTCTGGCTAGGTAAGAAACGCATGCCAGCTGTAAGGTAATATCTGAGAAATGAGGGCAGAAGAAGAAAAAGAAGACCGAATATGAGATGGATTGAATCTGCAATGGGAGCTACAGCCTGGAACTTAGAAGAGGTGAGCAGGCCTGTGGTGAACAGGACACTTTGGACAGGGTTGACATAGGTTGGAGATGACTTGAGGAAAACACAACAACAACAACAACAACAACAACATTTTAAAATAGGTTAATGTTTCCTGTTCCTTAAAGGCTGAAAATTGCAAACCTCCTAAAATGGAATACCTAAGTCTGTTTGATCTTAAAGGCTTGCAGACAATAACCTAGGAATGCTACCCTTCAGAATGAGTAAATATATGTTGATTTCTACAACTTTTCTGAAGTGTTAAGATTTCACCAATGGCCTTTCTATTTCCAGGCCATCTCCTGTCTAACTTTTACATAATTGGTATGAACACATTTATGATAAAGTTCAACACAGGGTCAAAAGGACAAGGAAAGAAGACGCACATGCCCTGGGATACTCTCACAGGTCTTCTATGCTATGTTTAAAACCTCCTTTTGAAATGCAGGGGAATCTTAAAAGCAGCTTCTGATACAGTATGCAGGTGAGCTGTTCAAAAAGAAAGAGGGGGTCAAAGGGATATCAAATGCCTAGAAAATATGCTTTATATCATCTTGACTGATTTCTTTAAGCAACAGTGGCAGAGCTCTCTGGATAATGGGTGACATTGTTTACAAGTCACTCATTCAGTTTCTCTTTTTAAAAAAACAAAGAAGAACAACACGAAAAATTAAAACTTTCTCCCCATGATTAAATACACTGTATTCAAAGGGC